AAATTTTTTTTTTTTTTTTTTTTTGTAATCCATGATCGAATTTTTTGTTTTTGTTTTTTTTTGTAACCCATGATAGAATTTTTTGTAATCCATGATCGAATTTTTTGTAATCCATGATCGAAATGTTTGTTTTTTTTCTTGTAATCCATGATCGAAATGTTTGTTTTTTTTTTGTAATCTACGATCGAATTTTTTGTTTTTTGTTTTTTTGTAACCCATGATAGAGTTTTTTGTAATCTATGATTGAATTTTTTTAATCCATGATTGAATTGTTTTTTCTTTTTTTGTAATCCACGATCGAATTTTTTTTTTTTTTGTTTTTTTTGTAATCTATGATCGAATTTTATGTAATCCATGATCAAATTTTTTGTAATCCATGATTGAATTTTTTGAAAATTTGTGATTTTTTTTTTTAATCCATGATCGAATTTTTTTTTGTAATCCATGATTGAATTTTTTGAAAATTTGTGATTTTTTTTTTTTAATCCATGATCAAATTTTTTTTTGTAATCCATGATAGAATTTTTTGAAAATTTGTGATTTTTTTTTTTAATCCATGATCGATTTTTTTGAAAATTTGTTAATTTTTTTTTTTAATCCATATTATTCAAAGAGAAAATGAGAGAGATGATGATTCTGAGGCCACCCTATCCCAGCCATATTATTCACATATCGAGTCCCAACATCAACAGTGTAGGGATGAGCACGACAGTGCAGGTGAGCATGAAGGATGGACAAGCTTTGGGGATTTTAGATTGGGAACACAACAAAACACTAACACTCAAGGATTTGAGAATAGTCAGACGCCTGGTAATATCGATGATTCGTTTTTAGATCGAATCAATGAATTGTTAAACGAATTCAATCAATGGCACCAGCGTGATCAAGAAGAACAATAACGTCGTCTATCATTTTATTTTTAGATCATATGTTACTAATTTTATGCTTTATTATAGTCCATGTATGATGATATACTTATTCCATGATAATTCTATGTTTATCTTTTTGTGTGATGTAAATTAAATGCTGAATGGCGGTTCATATAGGGAAAGAACATATCAATATTCGCATATTCATTCAAAAACATGAAAATTCTTAATGGAGTACCCTCATTTTTTATTGAATTCCTAAAAAAAAATATTTATAATGAATTTTAATAATTTTTTCGAATCTTTTTTAAGCTTTATTCTGACCGATTCACCTGATTCCCGATCCAGACCGCCGATTCACCGATCCGGATAGGTTTTTTTGATGTCCGATCCGGGTCACCGATCCGTTTTTTAAACCATTGCTTTAGTCGTTAGACAATAGCATGGTAGACGACGAAGCAAATTCAATGATTGAGGGAGCACAAAATTCAACAAAAAAATCATTGGCTTTGGGCACTGGGGTTGCGTAATAATATAAAACAATGCATTGAATTGGGCCTCAATTATTAACTGTCCAAACACTTGGATCAGCAGTGATGTACGTCTTCCTTTGGCACGTCGGTTGAACTCTCCGCTCACCGCTCAAAAAGCGTTAACAAAATAAAAAATACAATTCAATCAAAAAATATATGAAAAATATATTTAAAGTATGATTAAAAAAAGCACCTTTAGAATTAAAAAGTAGTTAAATAAAATAAAAATGTGTGCCCAGGGTATTTTTGATTTTTTCAAAACATTGGAAAATATATAAAAAAATAAATATTCATGATCAAAACACTTTTCAATCTTTGATAAAATAATAAAAAGCAATAAATAACATATTACAAACAAATCATTTATTTTTTAGTATTTTATATTTATTTTTTTTAAATACCCAACTGGCCCACCAAAACCGGCTAAAACCAGTTCGGCCAGTGCCCGGTTCTGGTTTGACCAGGCGATTCCAAATTGGACTGGCCGAGTTTGCGAATGTGAAAGATAGTGTACATCAGGTTAATACGAAATGTGTTTATTGTAATAAAAAATATATAGGAAGGGTAAACATAATATCTTGTATTTTAAGATAAGCCTGGGTATAATATAGGTATGTGTGATTTATTTATATTATTGTCATCTACATTTGTCTATATAAGACAAGTTTATATATTAATATTCATTAATGGACACTGAGTTTTTTCAGAAAAAGCCGAGACTCTTCACATGGTATCAGAGCCAGATTCATCTTCGTTGAGTCCATTCCTCGTCCCTAAAGCATTGTCGCCGATTTTCAATATGAGTTTGTTGTATTAGAGCAAGATTCATCTTCGCTTTGTCCATTCCTCATCCTTGAAGTGTTGTCGCTGATTTTCAAGACGAATTTGTTGCTCACCTAGTCAGTGTCCCTGAAACGTTGTCTCTGATTTTCAAAACGAGTTTGTTGTTCACCCAATCGGTGCCCTCTTGTCGAGTCGCGTTTCGACTCTCTACAAATTCTTTCAGGTTTTTCTTCGATCTCTTCCATGGAATCTAAAAGACATTGTTCTCATCTTTTAAATCTCGTTCTCCTCTCTCAATTAATAGTAATTTTCCCTTTCTTTGTTGGTCTTTGGATTTCTAGTGTTACGGTTTCGAGTTTCTCTGGATTTCGTCTTGATCATTAGATCTATGATTCGTGTTTGATATGCAAATGCTGATCATACCCCTGACGAATTGATTGGTCTATCCCTCTCTCACTATCTCTTTGCATCTTTTTCTTACTTTCCTTCATCTCTCGGGCTCTCTTTTTACATCGTCTCAACAGTATATTTTGTTTGCACGTTTTGCATATTTGTTTTGTCTCACTAAAAGTAAAGTGAGGTTTGCATAAGGGTTGGTGGCCCATATTGGTTTTTGATGGACCACTTTGGTCATTTGGTGTTGCCACGGTTGGTGATTAATATTATTTCTTGCTCGATACAATGAAAAAAAATATGAATCTTTTAGGCTTGTGTCAGTAAATTACAAAAATTGTATGGACCACTTTTGTAAATTGTGCCGACCAATTTTTTTAAAAAAAAAACAAAAATTGAAAAATACCATGAAAACTGTTAGATCTAAAATATTTACCTTTCTGTCCTCTAAAAATTGGCGTTTGAAAATAGCCTCTAGAAAATTGCAATATCTAATATCACTGCCTTCCCTCATAAATCAAACGGCTTTGAGTAACGGCTTCTGAAAAATCCCTCTAAAATATCAACTAAAACTCGCCACATAATCCACTTCTAAAAAATAGTCTCTTAAAACGGCCGATCAGCCTCATCTAAAAAACCTATGTATGTTTTTGCCTCTGGATCTTGATCTCATGGTCCAAATTTGTCTGAAATCTCACCCCGCCACTCATCTAATATTGTCATTGACCATCTGAAACCTTTTTAAAAAACTGACCCCACCCCCCCAACAAAAAAAAAAAATCTCATAACCCAACTTTTCCCTCTCTGGTTTTTCCTCCTAGTTCTCGCTCTTGTTACTCTATTCTATTTCATGAAGATCCAACTGCTTGTTTCTGCAATTAATATTCAAACTCCAGCTGCTC